CTCGTTCAAGTAACATGTTTCCGCCATCTATATGGAACACCAAAACAGCTGCATAGCAGTTCCCGCTGAGTTATTACAGTCAACTTATTTATATTTTTCTATGGACCTTTATGGCTTTTCATTTACTAGTATGAACTTTATAAGTTTTCATTCAGGTACCTTCTACGGATTTTTTTAATTTTAAATTTAAGGGAGTACCTCCTGTTCCGCAAAACCGACACCTTAGTTCAATGTGAAACGGTGCCCGTTTAAACGATTAGTTGGGGAATATATCCAAGAAATTATTACTACTGCACCTCTTATGTAACGCTCAAATCATCAGTGTTACATCTATAGAACCCCATAAATACTGCTTTAACGCTTAACCGTCCAACAATCATAAATCAAAAAAGTTATACGAGTAAGTGAATCTATTTGTTGTCTACCGCTTATTTATTTACTAAATTAATTTTGAAAGCTCATTCAGTTTGGTACAATAGACTACGTAGGCCTATCTTTATTTACAGCACCAAATATCACTTCCAAACTCCAGAAATTCACGGATATTCTCCATTCCATGTAACACATGCGTATTCATGGTTTTACAACATTGTCTTCTACTATGCCAATGGAACAGCACCTTTTCGGTGTAGATATGCGCACAATTAAGTCTGTCACTTCCCCTGCTAACGTTGTGCCCATTGTAACATGCCTCCAGTCGTGGGTTCCGAGGTTTTCTCTTTCCCGGGCGTGCTTGACTCGTAGTAGAGCGAGGATCTGAAAGAAAAAGTAGAGACTTCGTGTGCGGCTGGAAAGCCACCTAATATGTGTTGGAGATGGATGGATGGTTTGCCAGTGGTACATCTCGTAGCGAGCTGGGTGGTATTGTCACAGCTGTCGAAAGAGGACGGAGGGCGAGACGACCGTACGGAGGGCGTGGAAGCGTACGACGTTTGGCTTATACAACAACACCGAAGGCAAAATGGGAACGCAAAGAGAAGTGGAAACGACGACAACTTGCCTGTTGATCAGCTTTAGCGACACCGACGCGCTACACCGAGTACAGCATGCATATTTTATAGTTACACTCACTATTTGCTTTTACATAACCACTTATTAAAACCAAGACCTATGCCATATTAAAACTAAGAAAATCTTTGCAAAACGCATAGACCCTGTCAGCAACATCGGTCACTCGAGCGCACGGGTCGAGGCACCCATCGGATGTTCATGATATACGCTTATTTATAGAAATGCGCGGTGGCGTAGTATATTAAAATTGGCCGTCCTCACATTGTTTTAATTATTTTGCTCCATAACGATTGCTAATTCATCTGCCACACTATGTTTAAATGCATCATATTATTACTTTGCTGCTGGCGCGTAATTAGCGTTTCGCGTTTGTGTCTCGCGGAAAGGGCTAATTTCTATATTGGCAGGAATGGGTTTCGCTTTCATTGTCCTCGGTGACATCCAAGATAGTTTAAGTGGCTGCAGAGTATATTCCTAATTTTTGTGGTATTAAGGTGTGGGAAAAGGAAAATAATGTTATATGGATTTGCTTCGTGAAACCGGTTATGATAAATTAAAGTTATGACTACAGGTGTAGTTGAAGTTCACGGCATAATCGAAAGCAGGCAAATGGTAAATACTAGTAAAGTGTGAACGGCTGTTTTATGCAGCAAATAAGTGTTAATGCAATTGTTTCATGTATGTAAAGGTTGTGCTTGCAGTAACTGGCCGGCTGCCGAGGCCAGCTCACCTCTCGCAGATACAGGCGCCTAAACTGCTCAGGGTCATTCTTTTCACTCCTGAGATGCGCCAGACTTTACTACAACGGTGGTACGAGCTAGGTGGAAACTTCCCGTACGAAGTCAGGATGCATCCAGACAAACCGCTGGAGGAGCGCAGGCAAATTCAGGGACGTAATTCCACGCCATTCAGCCGAGCCACGCCATCACTACCTATTACGCGATTTGTGGATATACCAAAAAACGAATAGGCACCGGCCCCTGTGGGGTCGGCGTAAACCACACTGGAACTACCCTACCATCTATGCCTTCAAGCCACTGCCCGCCAGCAGTTCATGTTAGCACGTGGAACTGCTTGTACACCAACGCTTTACCGCTACGGAACAAGGTGTCCGAAATCTCTTCCCTTGCGCTGGACAGGCAAGCTAAAGTTACATGTATAATCGAAGCCTGGTTCTGCCCAGACGTTGTGGACGCCGAGGTAGCTATCCCGGGATACGTGCTCTTTCGAAACGATCGTGAAAGCGGCAAAGACGGAGGCGTAGCTGTGTATGTATCAGACCGCCTCACATGCGTCCCTCTCAAATCTCCGGAACTACTATCTCTTCCCGAATCCCTCTGGATTCGCGTCCGCGGCTCTGGTTCCACCAGTCTCACCCTTGGAGTGGTTTATTGCCCACCCTCAGCTGCGCCAGAATGGCTGCAGTGCTGGAACGCTGCCCTTCCAGCAGCTGCTTCTGATTTGGGTGCCCCCTACTCGTCGCAGGTGACTTTAATTTCCCGGAGATAGACTTTACCTCTGGCCAAGCTCGTAGTCAGCACAGCCTTGAGTTTCTTGCCAGTGTTCTGGAACATGGCCTAACCGAACACGTACAGCAGTACACTCGGTGGCGAGACGGTCAAAACCCGTCGAAACTCGACTTGCTGCTCACCAACGAGCCACATCTAATTCACAACATTAATTTGAGCGCCCCAGTTGGTGCACGTGATCATGCAGTTATCAGTTTTCGTGTGGTGGCGAACGTCACGCTCAACGCTAAGGCACTGCCCATCAGGCCTAACTTTCGTCGAGCGGACTATGACGCGATCAAAGGTTTCCTCTCACGAGTCGACTGGTCCCTGGCAGCACAAACCCCACAGTCGACGACCATCGGAACTACATCGCCGCTCACATCCACGACGCAATTAAGGCACACGTCCCCACAGTGTGCGCTTATGCGCCGAAACGCCACAGGCAACTTCAGCCTGCTACGCTTAGGCTGATCAGGGAGAAGAAGGCCCTCTGGGGCAGACTCTTACTTTTCGGCGACTCTGATTCGCGAGCACAATACTGTAGAGTGCGAAATTCCTGTATAGCAGCTGTTCGCCGGGACAGAAAAGCGTACCAGCTCTCTCTCGCTAAAAGCTTCGCCGAAAATCCCAAGGTCTTCTTTAAGCATATAGCGTCTCTCACTAAATCGCGCGCTGCCGTTGGCAGCCTGCTCAGACCCGTAGGCAATACCACAACGTCGGACAAAGAAGCTGCGGAATTGCTGAAGACTCAGTACGAGTCCGTTTTCGGCCCCTTCGCACGCAGTACAATGGAAGGCGCTAATTTTACCCCTATCGCTGCCAGACATCCCGTGCAGTTTACGTCAGAGAAAGTCCTGGAGAAATTGAAAAAAAATTAAGGACAGACAAATCGCCGGGTTTGGATGGGATCCCTCCAATTTTTCTACGTGAGTGCGCTACGGTACTGGCCGAACCGCTTGCCTTACTGTACAGCCGCTCCTACACCAGTGCCGAATACCCGAATGCTTGGAAGCAAGGGGTCATAACGCCGATATACAAGGGTGGTGACAGGACAAACTCCTCTAATTATCGCCCGATAGCACTGCTTCCCACTGCCTCCAAAGTAATGGAGAGTATCATAGACGATTTCTTGCGCTGCCATTTAGAAAGTCTGTCCTTAATAGCCCCGGAACAGCACGGGTTCCGCAGGGCTCACTCGTGCACCATGAATCTTCCCGCAGCCCTTGATTCCTGGACTGCAGAGGCAGACAATCATACTCCAACTGACGTGGTTTACGTGGATTTCTCAAAAGCATTCGACCGGGTCAGTCACGCACTGCTGTTGAGTAAACTGCCGAGTTTGGGGATCGACCAGCAAACAATCTGCTGGCTAAGTACCTACCTGTCTGGCTGCACCTACCGAGTTCGTGTAAACGGCGCACTCTCCAGCGCTCTGGCTGCAACGACCGGGGTGCCCCAGGGATCCATCCTCGGGCCCCTGCTGTTCAATTTGTTCATCAACGACCTCTCATCATGTATCAGCAGCCACATACTGCTTTATGCGGACGACGCTAAGATATGGAGACCTATCCGCAGGCCAAGTGATCAGGCACTTCTCCAGACAGATATCGATGCTGCTTGTTCTTGGGCCTCGAAAACTTCGCTCCCGTTTAACATCGGCATGTGCAGAGTCATGCACATTGGGCAAGGTGTGGCTAATCCGTACAATATCGGCGGTGTGCACCTCAAAGCCACATCCCAGGAACGCGACCTGGGGACCATAATATCCGCCGACCTGAGCCCGAGCGCCAATGTAGCTACACTGGCGCGAAAGGCTAGCGTTCGCCTGGCCCTCCTTGGACGTGCACTAGGGTCTTTCCCTAGAGAGAAATTTGTCCGTCTCTATAGCACTTTAGTACGTCCGCTGCTGGAGTACAACATACTTGTCCAGCCACCGTACCTGAAGAAGGACGAGGCCATGCTGGAAACTGTACAGCGCAGAGCCACTAAGAGAGTGGACGGACTATCCCACTTCTCGTATGAGGAGCGTCTGACCGCCCTTAACCTCTTCCCGTTGAAATATCGTAGGCTTCGTGGCGACCTTATCTTAGCTTATTCCGTCCTGACTAATAACAGGCACCCAAACGAAGGATTGCTGGTCCGCGCCCGCACAGATCATCTTCGTGGGCATTCACTCAAACTGATGACTCGTAGCAGTCGCCTTCTGTGCCGAAGAAACAGTTTCAGTGTGCGTATTGCCTTCGCTTGGAACGCCCTCCCCGAAGTTGTTGTCTCAGCGCCCAATACGGAGGCCTTCAAACAGCGCCTAGACGCTTGACTCTTACCTCGCTGGTCTTCCACGTTGCTAAGATCTGGCCATTTACCAAGCTAACACGCGGCGCTTCTATCATTTTGCTTCTATCCAACTTTGCCGAATTTACCTACACCACTCTCTTGTTCCAGGCATCCATGTTCCCACAGTCAACAGTTTGACATTGGCAAGGTCACGGCGTGCTTGTCGTGTTTCATCGCTCGGGATTTTCTTTACTGAAGTCCTTGTTTGATAACATTTTCTTGTACTCTGAAAGTACTTGGAAGTGCCAATATACTCGGGATCCATTGTGTGCCTTCCTTTGTCACGACGCAGTCTCCGTGGAGTCTCCGGTCGACTTACGGCTTCCTACTCCCTGCATACGCTGAATACTCCTTTAACTGCACGAAACCGCGTGTGGTCACTGTGCTGCTGGAAAAAGTGCATCATCTTATCATATTGAGTTCAAATCAGTGCGTACGTTTTACTTGCGGTATTATCCGATTTTGCCCTCGCTGTCTGCATTGTAGGCCTTCGCAAGCCGGTCCTCATCTTTTCGTTGTTCTTACCTTTTCTTCATTGCTGTCAAGATGGTTAGAAAAGTTGTGGGTGTGCCTTCGGGTCTTAAAACAGCTGATTCAGTTTACCTATGCGGCTTAGAGAGATGCTGTATACCTGTAACCGACTTGTCGGGTGGTATGCAATGCGATCTTTGCGGTAGATGGTTCCATGAGGCATGCACCGGTTTGCCTGCTGATCAGTATGCTCTCCTGGCAAGCAATGAGAGGTTCCTTTATAGCTGTGAAGATTGTTTTAAGCTGAAAGCTGAGCGCTTTGTAACCACGAAAGACTGCTTCGATTCGCTCGTTTCCAGACTGACAAATATGGAACGAGTGTTTTCTTTGCTGCTGACAACTTTGGATGGGAAAGTTGAAGGTTTACTAGATCGTCTGACACCATCCGTTGTTCACGCCCAGGTGAAATTAGCGGATAGTAACACGCAAACGGATTCAGTCGACTTAACACCCTATCCAGCAACTGATTGTGAGCTAGTTGGCGCTAAACAGTTGGAAAGAACCTTGCCAGCGAAACGTAAGCCGAGCAAGAAGAAGAAAACTGTAAACTTGCAAAATGCGGTAGTCTCGGAGTGTACAGTGGATCAGGTAAGCACGTCACTTGCAGAGCCTTCAGTACTGAGTCCTTCGGTGTCTCCTCCCAAAGACTCTTCGTACGCAGCTAGTGCATCCAAGCAACCAGCCACCCAGCCGCATGATTCTATGACTGTGGCGCGTGGAGTAGGCACCCCCCGCCGCAGTGACTCCTACACTGATAGCAGTGTCATCTTTAGGAATGTCACGGAGTCCACCGCAGCTCTTCCAAAGGAGCGAATGCTTGCGGACCTGCAATGGTTTAAGATTTGCATTTCTAAACTGCTACCGCCCGGGTTTCCTGGCGTAACTGTACGGAAACTCATTAGGCTTGGGTCTGTGCCGGTCGATGCTTCGGGCGTCAAACCCCGTTTACTGAGAGTGGTTCTTTCAACACCGGACGAGCGTAATACGCTTCTGCGTTTCGCTTTTAAACTCAAGGGTTCTGGGGTCAGTATTCAACCTGACCTCCCATTGACTGATAGGTTGAAATTGAAGGCCGCCATAAAGGACCTCAAAGCCCGTCGCGAGGCGGGTGAAACTGGTCTTCGATTGGTGGGTTTTCGGGTGGTGAGCCGGAGGTCTACTTCCGCCCTTTCAGAGCCCGTTCTGGTGGCACCCGATCCCCGGCTCACGATCCCAATTTGCTTAAAGTAGTCCTCAGCAACGTGCGTAGTCTGAGGAACAAGATGTGCGAGATTGGCACTCTTGTAGAAAGTTCCCGGCCAGACGTACTCGCTTTCACTGAGACGTGGCTGTTCTCCGATATCCTGGACAGTGAAATGTGTTTGCCTGGTTATACCCTTCTGCGAGCTGATCGCGCCTCATGCTGTCGCGGAGGTGGAGTTGCTTTGTACGTCAAATCCACCTTGACTATTTCACGAACATATTCTTTCAGTTCCCCTGATGTAACTGCCGAGGCGCTTGCGGTAGATGTTTGCGCTTCTTTCACGCAATTCAAAATTGTGTTAGTATACAGAAGCCCCGAAAGTACGTCAAGCAGGCTCATTGATTTCATTCGTACTCATACGACAAATAGATGTCTTGTTATGGGTGATTTTAATGTTCCTGAGGTGGATTGGCGCAATTTCTGCACTGCGGCGACTGGACGTTTTTCTAATGATCTCCTTGACCTATCCTTACAAGCATCCCTTCATCAGTTTGTACAAAGCCCAACTAGGTTCATGGAGGGCCAAAAGCCTTCCATTTTAGACCTCATCTTTGCGAAATCGCTGGACTTTGTACGAGATGTAGTGTATGCTGCTCCCTTGGGCTCTAGTGATCACGTCTGCCTCTTATTCAAATGCGCCTTAAGTCGGGGACGTGAAGAGTGTATGGTCAGAAGGCCAAATATCTGGCGCGCTGATTTTCAAGCCATCAGGGACAAGGCTGCAAATCAACCCTGTATCATGTCAGAGGATGACACCGTCCAGGTTGCTTGGGACAAGTTCAAGTCCTTTCTTTGCGAGATTTCCCTCCCCCACATTCCAATCTCAGCGAGGAATAAAGTAGGGGCAAAGCCCCCTTGGTTTGACTCTGAGGCGCGCAGGATGCTCAGTAGGCGATCCAGGTGTTGGAGGACTTACGTATCAGCTCCCTCAGAAAGTACCCATCATCGCTACCGAAGCGTGCGAAATGCATGTAAACAACATCTGCGGGCCGCACGCTTGAGATATGAACTAGCGCTAGCTCGATCTGCATCAACAAACCCGAAACGGTTCTTTGGCTATGTCAAACGGAGATGCAATGCAAATCCGCCTATCCCTGTGCTCTTTGGACCTGACGGCACTGAAGTATCAACCGATCAGGCCAAGGCCTGCTTACTTGCAGAACAGTATGCTAGGTCGTTTGTTCATGAATCTCCATTGCCTAATATCCAATTGCAAGCAAAGATACCCTTAGACTCCTTTCTGATGGACCTTTCCATCTCGGAAGCTCAGGTACTCAAGCTCCTGCGTGACCTAAATCCCACAAAAGCTGCCGGGATAGATGCCCTCCATCCCAAACTTTTGTACGAGCTGGCTGGGTTGCTGTGTAAACCGATTAAGTGTATCTTTGAGAAGTCTCTTCGTAGCTGCTCCCTACCTGCTGACTGGAGAGATGCTATCGTGTGCCCTATTTTCAAAAAGGGTGATAGGCACTTACCTGAAAATTATAGACCGGTTAGCCTAACAAGCGTACTGGTGAAAGTATTAGAGAAGCTTGTAAGAGATGCTCTGGAAAAGCACTTAGCTAAGTTCAGTTTGCTCAACCCGTCTCAACATGGTTTCCGCAGAGGCCACTCCTGTTTGACTAACATGTTGGTAGCCCGAGAGTGCTGGGCTGAGGCTGTGGACCAAGGACAGGCAGCGGATGTGTTGTTCATCGACTTTTCTAAAGCCTTTGACACCGTACCGCATTGCCGTCTTTTGTTTAAACTAGAATCCTACGGCGTTTCAGGCCAAGTATTGAAGTGGATTTCGGCTTTCCTGGAAGGAAGGCAGATGAGCGTCCGAGTGGGTTCCGGGCTGTCTTTCAGACAAGCCGTTCTGAGTGGTGTTCCTCAGGGGTCGGTTCTCGGACCTCTACTGTTTACATTGTATGTCAATGACCTCCCTGAGAAGCTTAAGGTACCATCCCTTATGTTTGCGGATGACTTAAAATTTTGGAATACAGTGAGCGATTCTGTTGGGCCCACGGCTTTACAGACAGCTCTGGACAAGCTTTGGGAGTGGTCAGAATTGTGGCAGCTGCCAGTCAATCTTGCAAAGTGTTCGGTCCTGCGCATAGGATCAAGCACTCCCACAACTTCTTACGTACTTGGCGGAAATGTATTGCGTCAAGTGACTGAACAAACTGACTTGGGTATCTCTTTATCCTCTGACTTCAAATCCAGCGAGAACTGGACAAATGCTACCCGTAAGGGTTTCCGAATGCTGTGGATGATCCGCAGGTCATTCGGCATTATAACAAATGAAATGTTCGTTATATTGTTCTCAGCCTTCGTCAGGCCATACTTGGAGTACTGCGTGCAGGCCTGTCCTCCATGCTTGGTACGCGATAAGATGACACTTGAACGAGTTCTGAGGGTTGGTACGAAAATGGTACAAGGATTGAGGCATCTCTCATATCCCGATAGGCTGCTCAGGTTGCAGATGTTTTCGCTGCACTATAGGCGCCTTCGGGGAGACCTGATTCTTACGTACCGTATATTGACCAACAAGATTGGGCCTGATCTAACTGGACTGTTCCAGCCGGCTCAGATGTCATCTCTTCGTGGTCACCCTCTGAAGTTGCATAAGCCTAGATCTGATCACGTTAGAGCTGACGTTCGGTTGTCACGCAGGGTCATCGACTCATGGAACGCACTACCCAGCGAAGTAGTGTTAGCACCAACGGTGAAGGAGTTTGAACATCGACTCGACGCCCTTGGGTTACAGTTTCAGACCTTTCCGTTTAGTTCTTAACTTCTACATCTATTTCCTTGGCTTCTCACATCTATTACTATTATTGTCTTAACCACACATTCTCTCCTGTACTACAATTACCATTATTTTGTTTTTGTTGGTTCCCTTCTCTTAACCTTTATTCTATTCACGTGGCCGGTACAGTGGGGACTGCTAGTGCAGGCCGCGTGGGCATTGATTGGTTGACCGTTATGTGATTCGTGTGTATTGATTTGGCTCCTCTCGGCTCCAAACCGCTCCCGCGAACTCCATCCTGGTTCAACGACGCATTGAAGAAGGAACACACATGGGAATTCTCCTACCGTTCCTGTCCAAATTGAACTTGAACTTGAACTTGCACTCGCTGAATACTTGTGCTGAACACCACTAGTGCGTCGAGACCTACAACACCTGTTACCTACCGACAAGATCAGGACCTTGCCGTAAGATCCCGAGGCAGAACCACCGAAACGCTACGCTTACTCGTTCTGCGCAAACCCGTGAAACCTACTTGCTTGGATAAGGGGTACACATATCACTAGTCCGCTTATTGTATTTTTGTATTCTTGAAATCGCCATGAATGAAGGCGAAATGTACAACTAATAAATCTTACCAACTACCTTTTTTGTACATACTTAAGCACAAAGTGACCTATACACATCTTTCAAATCCAGTTATGAAAGCACCACCATTTAGCCTGGTGTACCGGAACACAAAGTCCCTCCAGGCCGATTTTTCATGTCAAAATTAGCCACTCCCGTGCCGAGTTTGCTAGTCCATTTTCCGCTATGGATAAGAAGCCTGTGAACGTCTTTTCAAGTTGCTCTACCACAAGTATTTATCGTAGAATACAGCGAGTTGAAGATGACATACAGAGAGAAGTGCAAGGAGTTTTGTCATTACAAGGTATGGGTTTTTTCGCGGGAACCGAGCTTGCTAACATCAGCCGCATTACCATCTAGCGACGCAACGATTCCATTTCTGCGATGGGGAAAGCGAAAAATGTATGTTGTAGCTAGATAGTATATTATCCCAGCACTGTAAAAACCTTTCCTGACTGTGAGTCACCGCCATCCGCAACGCGTGGTACTGTTGAAGTCGTGAACTTGGATTTATCACCACCTCCAAAGCTGCATTTGGAGGCGGAATTAAGCGACGATTCTGATAAAGAAAACGAACACGTATTAGCCTATCCCCATACATCCAGGTAAACAATGTATTTGTTTTATACGTTTAGTCCGATTCACCAAGACTTTTATCAGCGTTTAGCTGTTAGCGGAACATCCTGTGACAGCGCACTGCTGTTGGAAATGAATGGTTGGTTCACAGCGTCTCCGTAACGTTTACTTGCAGCCACATTGTGAAACGTAAATCGCGAAGTGATGAAAGTGCGCGAACGAATGACAGGGGTAGAGTTGTCCTTGAACGCGCTGCATGCACTGCAGGTGCCGAGTTCCAGCAACGCGTGTCCATTTCCATTACCAATGGACACAATAGCGCAACTGTCATTTTTAAATAATGCACTGGAGAACGCTGAGTTCATGAACAGCATGGTAAGTCTCATGGAAGTTTACTTATTCGTAGGTGCACTATTTATCCAACGTAAGTGGCCGGACAATCTCAGAAAGTGTGCGGAACGTCATGCTTACTTGCATAACTAACAACTTGGTCAGACAAGTGAACTGGCGTGGTGTGCATGAGAAGTATAAGATAGCGAACACCATTCGCGCGAGCGGTCCTTGGTATGTTACCTTTTAAACAACATTAATGTCCTCAACAGATTCCATTATGTGAAAAGACATACCAGGATGTACAGAGCCTGATATCGTTGACAAGTTGCGACGCTGGATACAAAGAATAAAAGAGCAGAAATCCTGGATACGGAAGGAAACAGAACGGTTATCACTGCAATCTTCCGCTTTGTAAATTATGAGATCCATATTACCTTATATTTTCGCGAACTGTGTTGTGTTCATGGCATGCAATGTGTACGATCGCATTAACGTGCTTGCAGTGGTATGGGAAGGGAGGATAATGCGGCTAGACTTTACCCATTACGGCTGGGAATCGTGGAATTGTGAGCGTGCGCAGGGAGGCGCCACGTTATTTTTCTCTGCGAGCGCCCGATGAGTGACAATTTTTTGCCACTCGGGCGCTCGATCGGTCACCCAACGGGCGTTCATCGGACACTGGTGCTGAGTGGGGATTAGTAGACATTTTCCAAATTGTCGTTAAACCTGTTTACCATTACATGACCGTGAAGATGATGTACTGAGGTTCAGCGGCCAGAAAGTTAAACTCACTCGTTATATTGACGCAACCTTCCCAGTTCTGATGCGTTAACGTAATAGACTTATACGTCGGCGACTTGTGTATGCTTAGAATCGCGTCATACTGATCGGTTCATAATCCCGGATAGGGATGAATTAAATCTGCAGAGTTGGATGGGTACACCTTAGCTGAGAAATAGAGGATACATAAGCGCACAGCACATGACATGGATTAGGACGGGCTTGCATGCTTTCTTCTAGACGAAAATGAAAAGATGCAGACGTGCTAACAATGGCGCACTGTATACGCCCAATGTATGCTGTCAAGCATTTCTACTTTCGTGGTTTAAGAATTCTGCGCCACCATGTGGCATAAATAGTACGAAGGTGCACGGGGGATTACTGTCGCCATATGCAAGAATGACTGCTACGGTAGTGTCAGATTCAGATGGACTGGAACGATAGGAAAATCCCTTGAGTGTTCCTTCTTGAGCAAATCGTTGAGCCAGGAAATGATATGGTGCTAGTTCTTGATAGATCTAAAACGAAACACACCATGATCAACCAATTACTGCCCACGTTCCCTGCACTAGCAGTCCGCGCTGTGTAAATAAATAAATAAACTTTTATTCTCGACAATGCGAGACACACCTTTACAGGCATGACCATGTTTAGCTAACAGTGTGATCAAAAATGTACAAAAGTACATATTTGGCATAACAGCGTATGTAAGTGTATGGGTGTATATACGTATGTAATTGTGTATGAATGTAGCTTGTGTCTTTAATTGTGCCGCAGCATTTTTGACTGTTGGTTATCGTCAGGAATGTGAGCATAAGCGATTGATGTCCTTGGGTTGGATAGCACTTTCCGGATATCCGCGGGCCAGTGACTTTATTTTGTGGCGAGTCACATCCGCCACGTCGCAGTGTTGATAAGCAGACGTTTGTGGCTTTTTATAGGGAGAACGCTTGCCAGGCGAAAACCCACCACGTCCTGGAACACTGCCGCCGAACTATTTGCTGGAACGGGTTAGACCCGAACCACCCAGCTGGCACCACGAGGAGGTTGTTCGGCTAAGTAGGTAAGTAGGTAAATGGAAGATAAAGGGGAATGAAAGTCATTAAAATGAAGGATAACACCAATGCGTGAAGAGAATGACAGATTAAGCACTAAAAGTTGGAAGATGGATATGGTCAGGAGAAGGGAAAGGTTTCGTGTTGCCACCCAAGCGCGTCTAACTGACGTTCGAAACCCTTAACCGTAGATTCACTGACTACACTTTCTGGAAACGAGTTCCAGCGCTCGATAACTACTCGATAACCGAGTTTCCGCCCTGATCCGGTCAGAACGCGGCTTGTGTAGCTTCATGGGATGACCGCGAAGACAAGACAACCTAGCCGGACTAAATAGCCAGCTCAAGTCCGGTCCAACCTTCCCTGTTAAAATGCGGTAAGTAAGGATTAGGTCTCCTCGAAGCCGTCGGTAGTGCATTGAATACATACCCAACCTAAGTAGACGCTCGGGGTACGATTGCCCCTGTAACCCCTCGACCAATTTGGTACCTACTCTCAAAACCCACTCAAGCTCCATCTTGTCCTGAACAAGGCAGGGCGGGCAAGCCTGGACGCAGTATTCCAGATGGGGCCGGACGAAAGCTGAGAACAGCTTCATAAATATGTCGGCATTTAAGACCCCGAAAGAACGGCGTATTAACCACAACGTGGCTGTTTGACAACTGAAAAGGTAGAATCACATGGACCTGGTTGACGTAGCTGTACACAGCGTATCTCCGTAACCGCTAATGAGCATGGTTCATGCAAGACAGAAGTCTAATAGAGGCCATAATGATGTATGATTGGGGCAAACTTCTATACAGAATAAAACATTGCTCCCTGACACTTTACAACGAGCAGTGGCACTGGTCAAAGCTATGGCCTTCACAGTGACATGATGATAACAATGCTTGTTGACTACCGAGATAAAAGCACAACGACACAACAACAAAAGCAGCTGCACATAACGCATTTGAACTGATGCTTCCCTGCCATCCAACCATCATGAGCTGTGTGATGAAGCACAGTAATACGGGGAAGGGGCGAATTACCGGAAAACCTTAATGCCCAAAGTGGAACTTCAGATGAAAGGCGGAAACGCCTTCTTAAGAATGTGCAGTCCTAAACAGCTTCCCATCCAGAAAGCATAATAATTCGACGGCGATGCAGCATCCTTGCGGCTCTCAGTGCCCTACGTCATCATCAGCCATAACCCCGCAGATAGGTATAGACCGTACATGCTTTAAACAGACAGAACGACGTCACTAAGTGTGGTCGTCCGTGGCTGCAGCCGAGGTGACGAAGTGAACTATTACACACCCTACGAAGGTTATTCAAGGATGACCGCGCTGCCCTCGCAGCATGAAACGGCGCTAAAACATCGTCGGCATAATTAAGATTCAATAGCATTTCACTAGGCAGCACTGCGTTATGCAGTGAACGACGAGGTTCCACAAAAATGGGGAAATTGTGCGAACCTGAGGAAGGGCACTTGTTGTCGGAAAAACATCTGAGAAATCACCCTAGGCCCATATGCTGCGTAAAGTGTGCCAGTACAGTGTGTATAAAATGTTCACAGATCTCGTGAAACCACCTTCTGTGTAAGTATTTCTTACGCAATGGAAAGACCGACTGAATCGGATGCACTGTGGAAGTGGCTGGCAAGTCGAACAACCACATTGTAGTGGCAGCTAGGTGGTTTCCATTAATCACATTCCAGAAATTGGTGGGGCGGCAGTGTTCCAGGAGGTGGTGTGTTTCCGCCTGGCAAGCCTTCTCCCTATAAACCACCACAACTATCTGCCCAACAATACTGCGACTTTGCGGATGTGACTCGCCACTAAATACACTAATTACTATTTGCCTATTCTGAGGCTCTTGCACACATCACGTAGTCATGCAATTGGAAGTTTTCCCTTGATCTTTCTTCGATGGAGAACCCGGCGAGAAAAACCACAAATGCGGAGTCAGAGTAACCAACTCATTGAACATGACTACTTGCAGATGCACACAAACAACTAGATGAATACAT